CAGCCTGTTTAATTGCTGTACTGAGGTGACTGCTTCATAACAATGACCATGCAGCATTAATTTTGGATAGTATTGCAGTGCCCCTAAAATTGGAGAATATCGAATTTCTCTGATAGCATTGTGATTCATTTGTGAATAAACATCACTACTCTTTTTGAGTAGCATAGCAATGACAGAGTTGGTTTAATGTATGACAAAATGGAGCCGCTTTTTAACTTAAACCTGTACTATAATCAGTACCGCCGGAAGCAGTTTTTGATTGGTCCGGTAGTTTCATGGCGGGTACACACGTCCTCCACGGTAGGAAACGTTTGTTGGTGGCCAACAAGTTGGTCTGGTGATAACCTGACCAACCAGACCGGCGGGCCTGATAATTGTGGGGCTCATGAGCAGCTCAAGTACTTAGTATGGTTTTGGACATGTCCCCAGTTAACCAATGAGAATAACCGGAAAACAAGGGGGGCTTTAGATACCGGGCTGACTTAACAAGAGGCAGGATAAGCGCGTTACGGGTTGAGCTTGTCGAAAACCAATTGTACTTCATTATGTGTGAAGGGGTTTTATGAAGAAATATTTTATGAACCAGTGTACAGAGATGGTGCTTATGACGAAAGGAGAGAGGAGAAGTGTGTGAAAGTCGATAAAGGGCATCCGAAGGAACACATCGATCCTTGTTGTAAAGAATATTAAGTATAAATCTATGGTTGAAACCTACTTCCCCAAGCGTTCTCTGTTAAGTATAAATCTATGGTTGAACCCGACTTCCCCAAGCGTTCTCTGAGGGGACCGAGGTCTACTCTATCAGTTCATGTATTCTGTGAAGTGACATGACCATTCGTGGGGACCTTGCTCATAACTGCAAAAGTCCTCGTCTGATTTTTCCGCATCAATTGAACGTTATACATGTGCATGTAGTGAAAGCCACATGCAAAAGGCTGTTCCATGGCACTCATCTGCCACCAAGCTCTGGGTTCATTGGCTGAAAATATTCTTCGGCACAGTAAAGTCGTGCGCCCAAGAACGTGGAAGCCTACAGAACATCCAACCTGGAATACTAAGAACACCACAGCCCAAAATTAAGAATTGCGGTGTAGGTTTGTGCTGTTGTCAAACACCGGGATTGTTATGTTGCACATGTATCTGAGCTTTACCACTACATACACGTCTGTCTTTACACAATTACCAATCTGCAGACAGCATGCTGTTTCGTCCTTTAGTTACTAATGGACTCATCAATGCAGCACAGAGAAAATGAGGCAGGTGAATGTCCTAGGCTAGAGAGCATCAAATACAGGTATAGAATCATGCCTTGCAGATCTCGTTACGGCCCCTTCGATGCATGTCTGAACATTAGATGGCTGTGTAGCTTCAGTTATCTCAGAATATGTACTATTTATCCAGCAGCAACAACGTTGGTCACACAACTATTCACTATAATGAGTATGCGTTGGAACACTTTACCCCGAGTCATACTATAGCAGTGTATGCCATGCATGGGTTTACCTCACACACTGAATTTCATAATTTGACATCCAAATCACAGAAGAGTGGTGTTCCAAACTTTACGTAATTGCACTCCATGTCCTGCGAGCTACAGTAGAATACTTCAATAGAAAATTTCTTATAGCACGTTCTTAGAAACAAATCGTATAGGTTCGAGGCTGTCAACCCAGAAATTTGTGATTTCACAGCCATAGATGTTACCAGTCAGGTCACTGTATACAGTAGGTATGCAGAAGAAAATACTAGTAACTCTTTGTGGAAGAGCTGTGCCAAAATGTGTACAGTACAGTAAATTAATAAAAAATGAGAAAAGCAGTGACAAGGCTGTGCATGATGTAGATCTACTCGTACCAGTAAGTACAGTGCACCAGTGAAATTGTTGGTGTAGTACCGGTATACTACTATAATTATGGCATGGCCCATGCCACTACAATCTATTTGCAGTGGGCCGCAGTAGGCCAGTGCAACAGAAAGCATTTCAGAAGCTGTGTGCAATGTTAACATCTATGACATACAAGTAAACTGCCATATAGCACAATCGATTACTCTCAGCCCACATAAGTACAATGTAGGCCAATCAGTAGTATAGATACATAGAGCACACTCTACATCATACATAGTCGGCACCAAATCTATGTTGTCGATGTACTTTGCAATGATGACATGATGGCAAGCGTGCTTGATTCATCATAATATTGCCTTGTACTTGGTTGGAAGTTAGTTGTAAGTTCAGTGGTCGAGGTAAGCAGAGCTGCTCCAGCTTTCAGAATCCTGCATGAAAAAGGCAGAAAGCAAATGTAGGTATAATAGTAGCAAGCTGATGTAAAGAGCCTGTCTTTCAATGCAATAATTCTATCCACTCCATGGACAGACCTGGTGCTTCATTCACCTCTGTTTCTTGCTTTCTCAGAAAACCTACTTCCTCCTTCAGCCATCTAGCTCATGATATACATTAATTTTTCTTTATGCCTTTTCAGCCGTGGTCGACTTTCGCCCCTCCTGTTTGATTGGCAATTGCAGTCAACCTGGGGAATACTGACCCTCGATTGTGAATGAGAAAAGTGTCGCTATTCGCATTGTTGTTACTCGTGAGGTTGGAAGTATGCAATCAAATGTTCACTAGATCTGAAGATTGTGTCGTTATTTGCGAGTTGTTTTGTAAACCCGAGGTAGATTATTCACAAGGTTGATTGTACATGCTATGGGATGTACAATAACTAACCAAACAATAATGGTGTAACAATGATTTGAGTCCATATCCAATTGGATGAACCTAGAGTGCATGATCCATTCCAGAAAGGCGACTTCAGTGAGTCTTGAATTGTCAGCAGCATCATACTTCCATCGAGCTTTTTTTCTTTTTCGAAACGACCCTCTCTTTTCAATTCGAACGAAGGTCAACATACGATTATGGCAGGCATGCACGCACTGATCTTCACTGTATACATGTGCATGTATACTGTACTGTAGTCTGTGCAGTCAACTAGTCGTGTTCCACTTGGCTTACGGTAAGTATCACTACAAGTGCATAGTAGCCCCCCCCCCCCCCCCCACCCCGGGGAGTGCGCGTGAACGGTAACTGTGAACTGGTAAAAGAATTATTCGACACCTTCGTTCGTTTCGATGGAGAAGGTTCATCTGGCAAATTGAGGCCTTCGTTTCACTCCTAGCCCCAGGAGCGAAATTTTCACTCCTTGGCTGCCTGTTTGAGCCGTCCTTGTGGAAGGGTTGATTTATGCATGCCCGCATATACATGTAGACCTTATTCAATAAACGTCACAATCACGTGAACCAGGGTCCCGGGAACCAGGGAGCGGCAAGAGACCTGCACTCAGTGCACAGTGGACTCGGCGTGGGAACATAGGAGTAGAAAAATACCGGTATTTTACTACTCCCTTGTACGAACTGGGCCTTTCTTGCCACTCGTTTCACGTACGCGTGCCCCAGCTTACAACAAATCCCTGGAGGCGAGTCCAAAAATCATGTTATCGAATAAGGTCTATAGAAACACAGATCACGTAGAACTACCCCATCCGGGGTCACAACTCACAACGTTTTGGGTACTTAGGTCTCATGTCGTCTCCCCAGGTGCTATGAATCCCTGGTGCACATGTATCTACATATACAATGTAATCGTAACTCTACCAATATTGCGGACGATGACCCTCCCCCCCCCCCGGCAAACAGAAAGTCGCTATGTCCTGGCCGAGTTTATCTTTTAATTAAATGGTTTTCTCGGTTGGGATTTCATACCTGACAACCATCCCGATTTGGCCGGGACCGTCCCGATATCGAGGGCGGTAATAGGCACCCAAAAGTGCACTAGTTCCATGCCTCACCGCGAGCTTCTTTTGTATACATTTTCATGCCTAGGTATGTCATTGGATCTCAGGTTTGCAAAGGTTGGCAGGTATGGGATTTGTAGAGTGACCAGTTTTGACTATTGCCACCTGCTGTGCAGAAGTGTCATTCCTACATCCTGGCTGCAAACGTACCCCCCCCCCCCCCCCCCCCCCACACACACACCACCACCAACAATGTTCGATCCTATTTACAGGACCTCACTCTATATGAAAGTGTAGCAGAGGCACTGCCAAAGTATAAAAAACAGAAATTGAAATGCAAGCTGCATTGTGCATGCATGGAGGGCATGGGGAAGAGACTGAGAGGGTGAAAGTGAAGGAAATTTGTTCCGAAATCAAGAGAATCCGAGGAACCCTTGCTGCATTCTTCAGTTCGATAACGTCAGTGGGTGAATCTCAGATGTGTTGTGTGCCCAGACATACAAGTACAGCACTAACCTGAGCATGAGAGCTGCTTGTCATCATCGTGGTCAGGAAAACGAAAGGACGAACGAGGAAGATTGCTGACCATGCATGACGAACAACTGCATATCTAGACGACAGACGGCTTGCCAGAATCAGTCTGGTGTATCTTCAGGAATCTTCTTTCCTAATCGCATTCAGCAGTCAGCTTCGAGGTCAAGAACGCGATGATATTTTCAGAAGGAATAATTTTCAAAAATTTTAAATTTTGGAGAAGAAGCTTCCTTTCTAAAAAAAAAGCGTTCCTTGCTTTCACGCAAGGAGGTGCCTTGCCGGACATGTCGTCGACAGCACAGTGTCGGCAGATCCACGTTTAAACGTTTGTAGGCTGCAGACCCGGCTGACGTTTTGATCATCCCGGCCTGGTGGTGAGAATTTGGACCCGGGAGTACTAAAAAGCTGCTCGCATCCCAGGGTGCTCAGTTTCGCTCTACCCGCGCGAGTAGGGGTCCAGGTAACGGGCTCTCTTTCGCGGCCTGCCGAGCATAATATACCTCAAGATTGCTCAAGTCTTGTAGTTGTACGACGTGACGACGTCACGTGCTGTGGAGCCGGATTGATCATGATCGCGCCATCGCGGAGTCAGTCACGTGTTCTTGAACTGGTTGCTTTGGGAATCATGGCGACCAAAAAATAGCGTCGAGGACGCATCGAACTTCAAAATCGCACAAAAATGTTTCGTGGTGATTTTGGGCTTTTGACGTTTTGTAGCAGAACTTACTTTGTTTTACTTGCATTGTCTTCTCAAGATTGAAGAGAGGTGGTAGTGGTGTGCACTGGGACGGTGAGGTCGACAATGGCTGAGGAAGAAGCCGGACATGTTCTCGCTCAGTTTCGCAGCGAGGATGGTGAAAATAGCGGAGCTCCCTTTGATTTGCCATTGTCTGTAACAACAGAGCATTTGCAGTCTGTGTGCAACGATATCCTCGAGAATGTAAGTAACATTCTACCTTTGTGTAAACAAAAGAAAAAATGTAACATCTCTCAAGTTGTTTACTGGCACCCCTGACCCCACTAGTTAATGTAGTGTCCATTTGGTGTTTGTTTTTACACAGTGTGTGTTTTAGTTCCTCTTGTCTCACTTCTCACCTTCTCTTTCTCTCTTTCCCATTTTTCTTATCTCCCCTTGTACATAAATTCTTCGCTAAATTTATCACCTAGTTGTAGTGGTTACCACCCTTGTGATGCTACTTATCCCTATGTTTCATTGGTTCTGGTTGCTTGTAATTTATTTGAAGAGAATGCCCGAAAACTGGTTCATGAATTTCGGAGTCCTTATTGATGATGGTGATGAATAGCTTGAGATTTGTAGTTTTTCTTTCCCTATTGTAAGTTCCCATCTTATTTTCTTGTAGATGGGTCAATACGAAATGAGGGATTTCTCCATTAGTCATAACAATTAGCTGTTTTTGGTGTCCTCACTGTCCTGCCCAGTCCTGGGAATGAGGGGCGTTCTGGGTGCTGTGCATGTCACGTGTGCTGGACTTGAGCTATTTTTGTTTTTGTTGCAATAAGTAGAGTTAGAGGAGCTAGCCACTGGTCGTGGTCATATGACATACGCCTGTTATTCACAAGAGATTAATGGTCTTGCCTAAGCTCCCGTGATTTGGTGCTAGCCAGCATCATGGCTGTCTGATTGTGGCGTTCCACTTGCAATGTACTTATTTTCATGTATACTCTATCTGTGGACAGAACTGTGTCGTCCTTTCTGGACTCATCGGCGCAGCACAGAGGAAATGAGGCCGAACATATATGCACTTGTTCTACATAGCCTGCATGATAATGTTCATGAAGCAAGCCTCGGCTTGAGTGAAAATGCTGTGATGGCGTTAGTACCCGTTGCATCACTAATCCAGCACGCACAAAAGGTGGACAAAATCAAGCAAGTTGTGGCATTGAGTTTAATGTTTGCGTACAATCATCTAAGAGCTATGATCCCCGACAAACACACTCATGTAATCTATCACACAGGATTGCAGTAGCTCTGATCTGTACACATATCTCGTGACTTCTTTCCTCCCTGACTCTGTAGGAGGAACCGGTTCCGTATTCCTTCTTCGTTGGAGATGACGAGATCAAGGGCAGTCTGGGTGACTGGTATAGCAAGCAGAAGGACAAGGTCGACACTGAGAAAGCTATCACGATTGTGTATCAGCCTCAAGCAGTTTTCCGCGTCCGCCCTGTTACAAGATGCACAAGCAGTATGCCAGGTATGCTATGGCTATCAAGCGTCTGCTGTGCTTTAGTATCTCCATCGTGCAGTTTTTGAAATGGCTGAGAATCATGCGTACTTTGTTTCCGGGTATAATAGGTTCAGTGACTCGGGTGTCTTGGGAATGTTTCGACCCCTGCGCAATACTGTTCCGCGTTGGAAGCGTTTTCTGCTATTCTGTGCTCGTGTGTGTGTGTGTATGTGTGTGTGTGTGTGTGTGTGTGTGTGTGTGTGTGTGTGTGTGTGTACATGCAGGTGTTTGTGTGTGCGTGTGTGTGTGTGTGTGTGTACGTGCATGTGCGTGTGTGCATGTGCGTGAATGTGTATGTGTTTGTGTGTGTGTGTGTGTGTGTGTGTGTGTGTGTGTGTGTGTGTGTGTGTGTGTCCCATATGGTGCAGTGGTATGTGCAGTCGATTTCCAATCGAGAGGTTGCGGGTTCAATTCCCGACGATTATGGTCGCACACGTCTTTCTTCTCTTTCTCGGACTCTTCCTGACTTTTCTTTCATTCTCCTGGGTGGTTACCAACAGCCAGTGTATGCCGGAGTATGTGGTGTGGTGTGTGTGTAGAAAAAAAGAAGAAAAAAGAAGGAAAAAAAAATGAAAAATAGGAATTCACTGGCCAGAAAAAGTCACTTCAAACAGCTGTGTTGTGGATACCAGGCTAAAAATAGTGGCGGTCAATTCATCAGCCTTGCAAGCTGTTGAATGGTGTAATCCCAGCACAAGTTGCTATGTCTAACATAGCTGTTCGCTATCATCGCTTCCGCGATGGGCATGTCTGAGGTCTGAGGTCTGAGGTGTGTGTGTGTGTGTGTGTGTGTGTGTGTGTGTGTGTGTGTGTGTGTGTGTGTGTGTGTGTGTGTGCGTGGTGTCTGTCAACCTGTGTGTGTGTGTGTGTGTGTGTGTGTGTGTGTGTGTGTGCGTGGTGTCTGTCAACCTGTGTGTGTGTGTGTGTGTGTGTGTGTGTGTGTGTGTGTGTGTGTGTGTGTGTGTGTGCGTGGTGTCTGTCAACCTGTGTGTGTGTGTGTGTGTGTCTGTCTGTCTGTGTAGGATTGTGTGCGTGCCCATCCGCCTGTCTGCCTGAACGTGTGCTTGCTTAACCGCTCTATGACTGTGTGTATGTGTGTGTGTTTCTATGTGATTGTCAATGTGATGTGCAGGTCACTCTGAGGCAGTTATCTCTGTTGCTTTCAGTCCTGATGGAAGGTGGGTGGCCTGTACCATGGCACGCATGCTTGCTGTGCTTGTTCATGCAGTACGGGTATCTAGTATGTTGGTCATTATGGTCCATCACCATCCAGCCTTGATCTTTTGGCCTTTCCAGCCTGTGGTTTGAAGTAGCATGACTGTATGCTGTTGCTGTGTATGCGTATGGTCTGCTGTTACAGGCACTTGGCCAGTGGCTCAGGTGACACCACCGTACGTTTCTGGGACATCTTTACAGAGACTCCTCACCATACATGCAAAGGTAGCGTTGCTGGGCTTTTCGTTGTCTGTCCAAAACGTTACGCGCTAGGAATTCTCCTTTGCATCTCCCAGTGGTCTTTGATCAGTGCTCTGTGCTGCTGCACACGATATTAAGTATATGTTTACAATTTGCAGACGAGAGGATGCTTATCGGCTTACAGACCAAGTGGGCAAAATAGCAAGTTATTGTGACCTTGTCACACACTCATATCAGGTGATTTTTCAGTCTTGAGAAACGTGCGAATGGGGAGCTTGTCAGAGACCGGTGCATACTACCCCTCGACCAGTGAACCAATGGTGCCTGATTCAAGCCTCGGTCAGACACCATGAAGCAGTTCACTGAAGCGAGGTGTGTGGTGTATGTGTGTGTGTGTGTGTGTGTGTGTGTGTGTGTGTGTGTGTGTGTGTGTGTGTGTGTGTGTGTGTTTTTTTTTTTTTTTTTTTTTTTTTTGTGTTTTGCTCCTTGGGAGCAGGTTACACTTTCTGAGCTCCGTGTTCTTGGCTTTCTCCAAAGTTTTTCTGCCTGCCCAGGGCGACTCTGGCGTAGCCAGAGTCGACCCTGGAGCACCCTCGCACACTGCCAAGGTAGTGCTGCATGGTTGGAGCGCGGAATCGCGATGTAGCTTGCAGGACAATTTACTTCGATATTGTCACTGCTGCGTCGGCCGTGGTCCACCACTCGCAGTGGAGTAGCTATCCCTCGAGTGCTGTGAAGAATCCAAGCTCGAAGAATGCAGTGGTGGGAATTGCGGATTGGCTGGTGGAGTGCTGGAACAAGTCGTTGTTTCAGTGGAGTGGACGAGCGAGTGCGGAGAGGAAGGTCGCAATGGCGGAATGGTGGGAATTGAAACTTCAATCTTTCGTCGTCATGAGTGCACTGGTCAAGCGTTGCGGAAGTCTGTCGGATTTGTGAGGCATTGCCCTGCCGCTTACATCGTCAACGTGGAAGAACTGCTAGTGGAGTCCTGGTGGGATTTCGGATGCCCACACTCCTTTTGCTTGGTGGATTCTTTCGTGGACAGTGTTTTTTTCGTGGCGTGAAATTTTGAATTTTTTTTCTTTCCTGTTCATTTTCAGTCGTTGTCACTGTAGCTGTCAGGTTGTTGTTACAGTACTCGAACATGATTGTACAGCAGTCGTCCGTTCTGCTCCATTGTTTCATCTGTTTTGCCAGTTCTGCTAGCTGATTCTCTTTATTTGCCACTGCCCCTCATAGTGCTCATGCTTGGGTGGAGGGCGGCGTGACCCGTTTAGGGTAGCTGTATCATAGTAGTAGTAGTAGTAGTGTGTGTGTGTGTGTGTGTGTGTGTGTGTGTGTGTGTGTGTGTGTGTGTGTGTGTGTGTGTGTGTGTGTGTGTGTGTGTGTGTGTGTGTGTGTGTGTGTGTGTGTGTGTGTGTGTGTGTGTGTGTGTGTGTGTGTGTGTGTGTGTGTGTGTGTGTGTGTGTGTGTGTGTGTGTGTGTGTGTGTGTGTGTGTGTGTGTGTGTGTGTGTGTGTGTGTGTGTGTGTGTGTGTGTGTGTGTGTGTGTGTGTGTGTGTGTGTGTGTGTGTGTGTGTGTGTGTGTGTGTGTGTGTGTGTGTGTGTGTGTGTGTGTGTGTGTGTGTGTGTGTGTGTGTGTGTGTGTGTGTGTGTGTGTGTGTGTGTGTGTGTGTGTGTGTGTGTGTGTGTGTGTGTGTGTGTGTGTGTGTGTGTGTGTGTGTGTGTGTGTGTGTGTGTGTGTGTGTGTGTGTGTGTGTGTGTGTGTGTGTGTGTGTGTGTGTGTGAGTGGCGGTCAATTCATCAGCCTTGCAAGCTGTTGGATGGTGTAATCCCAGCACAAGTTGCTATGTCTAAAACATAGCTGTTCGCTATCATCGCTCCCGCGATGGGCATGTCTGAGGTGTGTGTGTGTGTGTGTGTGTGTGTAGGGGGAGGGGTCTTCAGTCTTGACTTGAGGCGAGAGAGATGTATTTCCAGTTGCCGAATATTAGAAACATATTGTGAGTACGGTGGAACAACATAATTTTGGATGTTATTTAAAAAACCCAGCATTGCAGCGGTATGGAAGTTTGTACTCTAACCTGAGCTACACACAATACCACGCAGCTACACAAGTATGTGTCGTGGCCAAGAAAGGTAGCAGTACGCATATTTTATTCTCTTCTCTAAGTTCTCTTTACTCTTCTTGTGCACAGGTCATAGCCATTGGATCTTGTACATGGCCTGGTCTCCAAATGGCAAGGTGGTTGCATCCGGGTGTAAAAATTCCGAGGTAGGCCGTCATTCTCATCTAGTCGCTCGTGGATGTGTTTCATTGCTTGTATAACTGTTGGGCTGTGCATTTTTCAGTCTATTCTTCAACTGCATTCTCGAGGTAGTGTTGCCATGTCGGTGTTATTTTTTGGTGGCCTGGTCATTTCAGATCAGACTTCGGAGAAAAAAATAGAAACAGATATTGCTGCTGTTTCTACTGTTGTGAAGGTGTCATTATGATTGTATTCTCAAATTTGCTCATGTTTTGGTGGTCTGGTCATTTCAGATCAGACTTTGGAATCCTTTGAACGGCCAACAAGCTGGACGTCCTCTAGTCGGCCATCGCCAATGGATAACATGCCTAGCGTGGCAACCATTGCACAAGTGAGTTGCTTGCTAACGATCAAGAGCCCCTGTAAGATTCTGTTTTAACACAGTTTAGCCCAAGTGTTAGTTGCTGTGATATGTTGATATAGATGTGCTGTCAGCTTGTTGTAAATATATTGGACTGTGTTTGTTTGGCCGCCATTATGTGCAGAGACGGACAGTGTCGCTACCTAGCCAGTGCTTCTAAGGTAAGACTTTGCCCAACCGTCTTGCACTGCCTCACACTGTCTCATTCTTCCTCACACTGCCTTCTCCTACCTTCCCTAACATTGCCTCATAGTGAGTCATGCTGCCGCGGACTGTCTCGCACTGCCCTACACTGCCTCACACCGTCTCACACTGCCTCACACTGTCTTCTCGTACCTTGCCTAACATTGCATCATACTGCCGCAGAGTGCCTCGCACTGCCCTACACTGCGTCACACTATCTCGCCTTGCCCCACACTGCCTCACAGTGATAAGGTTCACTCTTTAGTTCTCTTCACACCACTAGTGCTGCCTATTTTTTCTCAGACTAAAACCACAGGTTAACTTGCATCTCTCTGGACAGGGTAGAGCTCTTGGCATTGCTTTGTGAGCTAAGATTGCATTTGTGTGATATCTCACCATTTTGTTCCTATGACATAGCCTTCCTTCCCCATCTTCAATCGTTTTGTTTAGTTGACTTGTGCTGCTGTGCCAAGTACTCACGCCAGTGGGGAATGATAAGGGTCTGGTTTTGTGGCCAGTAGGATAGAGAACTTGTTCTGTGGGTAGTATTCATAGCGAAACATATTTCTCTGTTCGAGTGGGTAGTATATTTCTCCAAGCTCTCGTAATTGCTCGGACGTGATTTCCTTTGCCAGTCCTCCAGTCCTCTGGGTGTGTGTACTGTATGTCACCCTTGCCAATCATGCCATTGCTTCTTTGTGTGGGGTTGTGTGTATGTGTGTGTGTGTGTGTGTATGTGTGTGTGTGTGTGCGCGTGCGCGTGTGTGTGCATGCGCGTGTGTGTGCATGCGCGCGCGCGCATGTGTTTGCTTCTTGTTGTCAGGACGGCGACATTCGGATATGGAACACGTCGATTAGCAAGTGCGAGCGCATTCTCTCCAGTCACACGAAGTCCGTGGCATGCATTCGCTGGGGCGGTGAGGGCTTGCTCTACTCGGCATCACAGGATCGCACAATCAAAGTCTGGAGAGCTGAAGATGTAAGCTGAAAATACTCATGAAGTGTCTGGTCCACACTGGTTATTCAGATATCTGCTGCTGTTAGACGGCTAGCAGCTGGACTCGTTCAAGGTTTCCTGTGTTTTGTGTCACTTCCCAGTATGTGTAATGTGTGTATGGTTTATGGAGTATTTGTTACATGTACTTGTCCAATCATCTCCACTCCCCTGTGTGTTTGGGTCACGCACTGTGATGGCCTCACCTACTCCTCCTCTTTCTTTGTGTGTTTCTGACGGAACCATACGCTCAGTAGGTGCTTCCTGTTTTAGTTCAGGCTTCTCTTCTGGAAGTAGTTGTGGATGTAGCCTTGTTGGTTGACTGCTTGACAGAGCATTGTGGATGTTTCTTACTGGAGCTAGACAAGTCTACGCGCGTGTGTGTGTGTGTGTGTGTGTGTGTGTGTGTGTGCGCGCGCGCGTGTGTGTGTGCATGTGTGTATGTGTGTATGTTCTTGTACATGCTGGGTGTGTGTGTGCACGCGCGCATGTGCATGCTATACTGTGCTGTGCTGTGTGTTCTCTTTCAGGGTACAATGTGCCGGACACTGCAGGGCCATGGCCACTGGGTAAGATGTTGGACTACATACTTTAGAGTAGTGTTGAAACGAGCGTATCTATAACAAACGAGCGATCAGTTCCACTAACGAGCAAGCTATCGAGCGAGCTAACGAGTTTCATTGATGTGGCAAATATGATTTTTTGAATAAAAAATTTCTAAGTTTGATTTTTTCAGCTCGTTCAAATTATCACCGCCGGCATTTGGGGTTGCTGCTGCTTACTGCTGTTTGGTGTCAAGATGTCTTTTCAGCGCCGTCATCGAGTAGCCTTTGTAAGAATAGACCGTTTTGCAAAGATTGCAAGTAGCCCTGGTCTTCGCTGCATCGCGGGAGAAAACTTCAAAACGACTGAGCGTAACTTTCACTCGAATGGAGAGGTGACCGAAGCATATCCTGCGACAGGTCAGCAGATGCAGAACAAGACATCAGTAGAGTCCACCAAAGCTGCCACGACAACTGAAACAACTCAAGTGTCGTGCAGCCATACAGTCACGATCACTGTAACTGCGAGTGATTTTTTCACTTTATTTGCGCGGGACTGGACTCTCGATCGACCAGGGAGTCGTAAAAAATTAAAATATTTTACGACTCCCGGCCCCGCGGGCCCGGTCGACATGTACTGCCATGTGTACGGAGTGCGGTGTACGGAGTGCGGTGTACGGTGTTCGTTAGTGCAAACGAGCTGGCCGCACAAACGAGCCGAGTTTCTGGCGAGCGAGCTAACGAGTATCCGGTGAGATCGTTTCAACACTACTTTAGAGTACATGAAACATGAGAAACATAGCGTACTACAAAGTATCAAGAACAGGCTAATCTACATTGCTTCTGGTGATGGCAGCCAGGACTCTTGTTTGTTTGTGGGCATTACTCCAATTCCAACAATCTATTCTGTTACTTTGGGCTGAGATGATATGCTGCATACTGTACAGGCAGAAAATTTTGTCGGTCAATAATTTGGTCCAACAACAAAGAAAGGGAGTTCGCCCTGTTGAAAATTTTGTCCATGGACCACAGGAGTGTATTGAAAAGCTGGACAAATCGATTTTAATCCGGCATTTAACGAAAAAGGCAAAATTAAATTCCAGACGAATATTTCTGCTTGTTACAGTACTCTGTGTATTCCCTGCTCATTGTTGGGTGTACAGCATTGGTATTGTGACTGATATTGTCCGTATTGTGACTGATATTGTCCATACTGTGACTGATCTTGTCCATACTGTGACTGATCTTGTCCATACTGTGACTGATCTTGTCCATACTGTGACTGATCTTGTCCATACTGCAGGTTAACACGATGGCACTGAACACAGACTATGCTATTCGCACTGGTGCCTACGACCCTGGAAAGCCACAGAAGGTGGCCGTGGCCGAAGCCACAGGTCAGTACTACAGTGACGCACCACGCACTGATTTGCTCTTTTTTGTTCTTCTGCTGTCCGTCGTCCGTGAAGTGTGCTTCGTCTTGTCTAACTGAAAGTAAACTAGTGTAGCTGTTGGTTCGTTTTGTGAGCATCCGGATTTATTGCCTTGTTCTTTGTGCACTCTTTGTTGGAATTATCGTAGCGGAGGAGCTGACTGCACTTGCTGAGGAGAGATATGACAACGCCAAGGTGAGTCTGCGCATGTCATTGACTTTGCTACCCACGGTGGAATGGTCTTGAAAGGACAATGACTTGTCGTTTCTTTCAATTCAAGGATGTAAATGTGGATGAAGTGCACTGCATCAGAAGATCTTGTCTATGTCCTCGGATGCTTGAAAAGTGTCCACTGCAAGTAGATGTGTTCACTGCTCAGATACATGGTGTTTAGATGACCGTGGCACAATCTCATCTGACCATGAATTGACTGTACATGTACATGCAAGTCAGTGTGGTGTGTGTTTGTATTGTTCGCTTTCTGGTCTGTGTGTTTCTCTCCAGGCTGGTGGCAAGGAGTTGATGGTATCTGGCTCTGACGACTACACTTTGTTCCTGTGGGAGCCTGCAAACGACAAGAAACCAATTGCAAGAATGACCGGTAACTTGTCCACTGTTCTCTTCATGGTTATTCTGTGCCATCAAGCTCTGTGTGCACATACGTTCTGTCACTTCTGTGTGTGTGCTTCATGTCAGAGTGACTCAGTTTTGTTCTGCATTGCTCCCTGTTCATCACACCCCACTCTGCATTCTGCTGTGCACTGTTTTGCTGCTGTTATCGCTTGTGTGAGCATTGTCATTTTGGGTGTCTGTTTGCTGTAGGTCACCAGCAGTTGATCAATGATGTTCGCTTCTCACCGGACACTCGATTTATCGCCAGCGCATCGTTCGACAAGTCGGTAAAGCTGTGGGAAGGCCGGACAGGAAAGTAAGGAAAACCTGTAACATCCACATGTGCTTGTGACCCTGTGCCTTTCCTTGATTCTACATAGTTGATGCTGATGAGCAATACAGTATATGCTTTGCATGGTGATGCGAATAGCATAGCAGTGGTGTGACGGGCACATGTGGTACTGTCATGCCATGATGATAATTTGTGTTGTGTGACTTGTCTTAGATAGTAATACTAAACACAATGTATTTCCAGTACAATGGTTCTATAGGCTATAATCATACAGGCAAAGTGAAGTCATGTTTCTGGGGGAGGGGATGGAGAGGTATGACTTTGGCTATCATGCCTGTCACTTGATACTTTGTGTCTGTGTAGGGTTGTGACTGCACTGTACTATGTGAAGGTGACTGTAGTATATGATTGTGTTATACTGTGCGTGTGTGTAATAGGTTCATTGCAACTCTACGCGGTCATGTCAACGCAGTATACCAGGTACAGTACAGACTGCTAGCCGGAGGGGTGTATGACCATGGCGGCATTGAGAGCTGTATGAGAGGAGTGGTATTGAATTCCCCTGGCTGGCACTGGAATCCTGGACTTCTGCAATAGCCATTATCGTTTTGCCGGTTTCACAACATGAAGTCTCTGGCCTTTGTGCAATGGCTGTCGTTTTACCACAACTATAATGTAATAATAATTATAACTTTTGTATTTTATTCCTGTTTTCGTTTTGCCGCGTTACAGGTCGCTTGGTCAGCTGACAGCCGACTACTGTGCAGTGGCAGCAGGGACAGTACTCTCAAGGTCAGCACTCAGTGGACTATTCACCCACTCACCCACCCACACAATAACCCACACACACACTCACCCACACACTCACTCACGCACCCACACACTCACCCACACACACACACACACACCCACACACACACTCACTCACTCACTCTTCGTGTGCTGTTGCTTCAATTGATGATGAGCGTTTGAAGTGAAGAGATGCAGCATGTAGAGTAGAGTGAGGAGAGGCCTCTTGCATGACAGTATACGTTGTGACTCAATTGTTAGATTGACAGCATGAAACAAGGAGGAGGACACTGTGTTTGAAAACAGTGACCTTACTACAACCTTCTGCGAGCTGAGAGAAGGACGCCATGGGCAGAAGTTGGAAAGAAAAAGAAGTTTTTATACAAGTTAAAAAAGAGCGAAGACAACAAGACGACATCAGGAGTAGTCTCCTAACCCCCTAGCATAACGAGGGTCAGAACCGGGTGCGATACCCATATGGTTCAAATGGTCCGCAGGGACCGGGGCTCTGCCAACCGCGGAAGGTTGTAGTAAGGTCACTGTTTTCGAACACAGTGTCCTCCTCCTTGTTTTATGCTGTCAATCTAACAATTGCGTGAACTACAACAAGGTTTATCTATTACTGGTTTACCAGTTTTGGATTATATCATACGTTGTGACTCGCATAGGTATTTTTTTCTTCGACCTTTCTCCTGTAAAATCACCTGTTCAAATCGACCATAGACTCTGTGTGGTTATACTGCTTATGGGAACTGCTGGAGTAGTTCTCAGTACGCAAAGTGGATGATGCGTTCATGTCCCTGTTGTGCTTTGCTTGTGTTGGTGAGCTTGTCTTGTTCCATTGGCTCCCGTTTACTGTTGCCAGGTGTGGGATATCAGGGAACGCACGCTGCTGATGGATCTACCCGGCCATGCAGACGAAGTCTTTGCTGTCGACTGGAGTCCCGACGGAGAGCGCGTGGCAAGTGGTGGAAAGGACAAAGTTCTCAAAGTGTAAGTGTTTTGTTGTGTCTTCTTTTGCTCACTGGGATTTAGTAAGATAGGTTATATTGTGTGTACAGATCAGGGTGATACCGGTGATACCAGCCTGGTTCTGTTCGTTGTGATGGCCCCTTACTGGTTTCTGTGTGTATGTTGACAACAGATGGAGAACGTAATCACTGGATACCATGCCACGCTACCGGCCAAGATGGTTGAACCCACAAAGGAAGTTGAGGAACACCCACGTCATCATCTGTGTTATCACCGAATCAATTACGTCTCGTCGTCCCTGCGACACACCTCTGTTTGTGTGTGGTCAGCAGTCATGAAGTCAGTCCATGTTCTCATAGAAGTATTAATACTCCTGTACATAACATCTTCAAACTCAGATCATCAGTTTTTATAGGATATTGACCAAGACGAGGTCTATATCCTATTTATCACGATTCCTTTGCCATAATCCCAACGTTTGATCCTTTAGGAGCTATTTTAGGCTTTTTGGTATAGCATTTGTACTATGGTGTACATAGGATGTTGCCTATTGTGGGCACAAGACTGTAAGAACAACAGGCCTGAGGGTTCAGCATGTGCAGCACAGTGGCTGGGTGGTATACGGGGTTGCTTGACATCCATACTGTTGTAGGTTTGAATCCTGCATGTTCGAATCCTTTGTCGTCTTTATTTCAAATATAAGTCCCTCCAAAGTCGAAAGATTACTAATTAATTTACAATGCCTAAAGTGGTCAATAAACCAGGGAGGAGTACAATAGGGCTAGGGAGGTTTCGCTCTACGGAATGACGTATGAAAATAATGTAGGAACTGCACGTAATTTTCATACGTAAAAATCAGCGCAGTTGGGTTTCGCTCTACGTGATTTCTCCACGACTGCTAAGCATGCCTTGTTGCTTTGGAGACGGGTTGGCTGCATGCGCCCACCGCATGCACCACGAACCGAAACCGCGTTTTCCACGTGGTGTGTACCTTGTGTTTCGCACGGCTTGAACGTTGCCATGGATAAATCTGGAAAATGCCAAAAATATTTCAAAAAGTCCTACAGAGGACCCAACGTAGGAAACAGCTTTCCTACGGAATCCGTAGAGAGATTTACGTATGAAAGTTGCCCTCGCTCCCCGGCGCGACGGCATACGGATTTTCAATTTTTCATACATAACTACTTGTACGTAGAACGAAACCTCCCTAATACCGTCTACTACGTATATAGAGCTTTTTCAAGGACGCCGTTCCCGCCACCGCCCTGGCGTTCACCCCGAGATTGTGGTGAACAGGTCGCATGTCAAAAACCCATTGAAAAGTATACGAAATGTGACAGGTTCGTCTCCGCCAGCGCTTGGGGCCATTCTGAAGCTTGTTCTTTTCCGCCCAAGCCATGGAAGGGCTTCCTGGCAACTGCTCTGACTCAACACGAGTGTCGGCTATCAAGTGGAGTGCTATTCTACTGCTTCTTTCACCTCCACACATCCATTCCCATACAAAGTGAACATGAACTGGGCTTCACCTGCTCACCAGCGATTCAAACGTTTCTCGCACGTGACCCCAAAAAGTGACCGTTGGTACAACCTTGAACAATCTCTATTGGTATTGTACTCCTCCCTGATTGGTATTTTACTACTCCCTGATGTAAACAGTCGATATCAAGAGTATAACCTCCCAAGAGTGTTGTGCAACTCTGCATATGATGGGGACTCCGACGGCGAAAACTCACATCACGTGTCTCGGGTACGTTTCGCACTACGTACAAACGAAGGATAGCGTGCGCGCAATCCGAAAATATCTACCATGATCCCGCTGGGGATTAAATTTTGCATACACGCAGTGAGTTTCTGTCAGAGAATGCTTTTTTATTACTCCGCTGCCCGCTAAAAACGTACAACTGCGACACTACACCAAGTGATGCGAGGTTTCGCTTTAGGCGCACCCCATAGAAAGGGTATCAGGAGTTGCACACTCTTGGGAGCTTATATACTCTTGTCGATATAAACAGTCGATATCACGGCGATATGGGTAATATCAAGAGTACATGAAAACCAGAGTGTGCAGCTTGGATGGGTGGCTGTCTCGGCGGAATTCCGTGATTACATCATTTTAGTGATGTAGTGCGTACAAGCAGGATTCAAGCAGGTCTCTTTCTGCACAACTGCAGCTCAGTTGTACGCACTACGCCATTTCCTGCCTCAGATCTGCGCCAAATATGATGTAATCACGGAATTCCGCCGTAACAGACACCCATAGCAGAAAAGGTCCCAAGCTGCACACTCTGGTTTTCATGTACTCTTGGTAATATTGGACCAGTCAAGGATCACATGAATTAGTGGAGAGCGATATAGAAGAGTGATACAATTTTATAGCCGTCTATTCTGAACATGGCAATCAAGAGTACTAACTGTGCGGTAACCATGGTAACCATGCTTTATTACAATACAGGTGGAATCCTGATAATTCGAACATACCGCTTAATAGTAGAAAGGAAAAGGACATATGGAAACGAGTTAAGAGTAACTCTCCACCACTGTAACTAGATACTATATACAGTCAGAAAGTGCAACAACTAGGCACAAAACTGACAGAGTACTGAGACATTCGACGTCCTGACACCTAGCGTCAACACATCTCCGTAGCGCTAACCGACAGCCTTCCAACTTGGAACTTCTTAACTTATCTTTGATATTTTTGACCCACCCAAGTTGGGTGGTGTGCTGCTTTGCTGCTTCGAATTGTAGTTAGACCGCTTTGTCAAATCGCCTACTGGTCTCGTCATCGTCCAGTGACAATCGACATTCTTTGTTCCGTTGGGACTGTAGCTTGTGCTCGTTTTCGTTGCGCTTGCCTTCCCCTCTTTGGTCTTTCCATAACCTTGAACCTTCCAAGTTGGAAGGCTGTCGGTTAGCGCTACGGAGATGTGTTGACGCTAGGTGTCAGGACGTCGAATGTCTCAGTACTCTGTCAGTTTTGTGCCTAGTTGTTGCACTTTCTGACTGTATATTGTATCTAGTTACAGTGGTGGAGAGTTACTCTTAACTCGTTTCCATATGTCCTTTTCCTTTCTACTTTTATTATTGGCTCAATACCCGAGTTTCAAAATACCGCTTAATTAGAAGTTTTTCCAGGACCGATTTCTATCAATACGATTCCCACATAAATTTTCTGATAATTCGAACCTCGAACTGGACATGGAAGAATGAAGTTGAAGACACCACTGCAGCTGTACTTATGGTTGATAAATATGGTGGTAAAGACACACCTGGCAATATGGCGGTAAACACACGCCTGCCCACACACGCTCTCTAGGCTGCAAAGTTCTGGCACAAAGCTCTCCTTCTCACCACCACCACCATCAGTTCGCGCCTGGCGCCTGGTCGATGCATGGCTGGCGGTATCCGGCATAGCAGGCTGGTACATCAAGTAGCGCATGGCACATAGATGATGACACAGCAACGACATAGCTCGATTGCGACGTACGTTTCGTCCCCGCTGGACTCATCAGGCAATCTTCTTCTTGGATGTCTTCATACGGAGCTTGACTCGTGTGTTTACCGCCATATTGCCAGGTGTGTCTTTACCTCGAACTGGACATGTCCGGTTAATTAGAAGTCCCACAGATTCCACTTACATAGAAAATGTGTGGGATTTGTGCTGATAATTTGAAGTTAGCAAAGTGTAATTCGAAGTTCACTGTACACTGTACTGGTCAGTTCAGTTTGCACGAGCAGTCTGTGCCGGTCAGTTCAGTGTCCGTAAAATTTGTGTCTAAGGTCCATAGCGCAACTCTGCGTGACCATGAGAGCATTTTGACATACATATTGTGTTGTGGGTTCATGTTTGGATAATTAGAATGTCCGGATAATTAGAAGTTTTTCCCTGGCATTTTGAGGTTCGAATTATCAGGATTTCACCTGTAGTAACAAACATGCGAGAGAAATGTGTGAAATGTACATGTAAAAAGAAGAAGAATATCATCTTTTTTTTACTTCATTGGAGAAAGAAAAGAAATTGCCTAATAAAATTTGCATCGACGTGTACGTACTTCGAGGGATGCATATGCAATATGCATTTAGCCTAAAATTCTTCATCTCTAGCTGTCACAGTGTGTCAGGACAGGAGGGAGGTGTAAGGGAACAGGGGGGGGGGGGGGGGGACCAATCAACTTACAACATTGTACCGGTAAATACAATAAAATGTAAGAGTGATTGTGGAAGTTCAGTGCAAGAAGGAGCCACATTGTCTAACAACGTTTCGTCTTGGCTGAGAATCATTGGGAAGCCAGCTACAAACATAGTGACAGCAGAACTAATAGCAAAGTATTCACATTCTATCAAGCGAGTACGTGGATCCATTGTCCCTGCTAAGTTACTACTTATTATTATTATTATTATTATTAGAAGCTTCTCCGCGTTGGCATCAATGCAATGTAGATATACACAGCATGTATAGCTTTCGCATAAGCCGAAGCGACAACAGCCAAACAGGATATTGATGGCGATATAAAACATATGCGATATAAAACGCGTGACGAAAATAGAATACAATTAAAACAAGCAAACGAGCAGCTCAACCGAGTTGAATTTGAACTTGCTGATCATTATCAGGCTACTTGGAGATTTTATATTAATTTTAATACTTGTATGTAAGAAAATCCTCTTGGGTGTGTAACAGTTACATGATCCTGTTGGCTAGCCTAGGCTTCATGGGGTGTTTCCCGGTGTTTTTCTCCTCACTGCCGGCGCCGTTTGTTTGTACTCTTCACGGAGAACATCAATATTGCCAGTAGATACAGACCAACACAGAATCCGAACAGGCAGGCGTAGTTTCGATGGAGATCCTCCTCGGCATGGGGAAAGTTCGCTGCAAGGTAGGAGCTTCCAGTCGGAAATCTACATGGTATGGTTTCTGTACTCGAGTTGCTGCTTGGACATGTGAAGTTCCGTCTGCTGAATTCCCCAGCCGCCAGGATCTCGCCAGCGTACTTCTGAGCTCCCATGTACGTGAGGTATCTGAATCCTTTGGCCATGCTTTCGATGTTCCTGTAGAGCAGTCCAGGCAGACCAACCAGACAACATGAGTGTAGTGTACTTGTAGGTATACTGGTATACTAGTGGTTTGAACTGGACTGGACTCCGTGTAGAGTCACTGTACACTAGGTTTTGCAACTTGTCAGTACAGTCAAATCTGCCGTTAGCGACCTCTGCTGTAGGCTGTAGGCGACCATCTACCGTTAGCGACCGATTTTCCGTGCACCGACGGTTTCACATACAAACTGATCTGTCCAGAGCGACCATCTGCTGTGCGCGACTAGCGACCGCGATTTCATGCACAATGGCTGCATTCAAATCTGCTGTAAGCGACCGCGACCCAGGTTCAGTCAGGTGCGAAACTGTACTTGCCAGCGCGTTGTCAACTGCAAGGTGTGAAAATGCGCTGTCTTGCAAGTGTGATCGACTGGCCCTGGCCTGTACTGAGGCTGTGCTGTAGCTCTCAAGATTAGCTCTGGTATGTGCACTATTCTTGGGTTTGTGCACCCCTATATTCTATTGAATATCCAATATTAATATAAATGATATTAAAAATCACATTATTCTCGTCGATTTGAGTACATGGAAGCATATGCATGCCCGGTATGCCGGATTTACCGTACATCTGCCGTAAGAGACCATCCGTAAGAGACCGCTTTTTCTTGCACCAAGGGGCGGTCGCTTACGACAGATTTGACTGAACATGCACCGTTGCACTCAAACTGCCCTCGACGGGTGGCCTATTCAGTATTCAGGACTGGCCCGTGCAGCACGCAACTAGGAACTGTTCGCAAAGCCTCGGAAATCGTATCCAAAATAGTGTGTATACACTTTAGACGGAGCAATTCTCATACTGGCCAACCACCCAAATCTAAATCCCTTGACAAGACTTGCAGAATCCCTGGACTTCTCTCAAAATCCCTGGATGGCACAACAACTAGTGAAAAATAGCTTTTCCCGCCAAAAGAACGTTCGACTCTGCAGATCTGC